AGCATTATAAATGATATAGTTTATTATTTGTAAATATCTTTCGTCATATTGTTTACCTTAAAATTAAAACAAGTACTGGTAACAAGTCGCATGCTCTGCAATAATCCTAATATAGTTTTAGTACTCAAACGGTTTATTTGTTTAGTTTTTAACAAATTTATAGTTGAACAAACCCCCTCAACATTAGCACTTGAATGTGGTAAGACTAATATTTTAAAAATAAATTGAGTTAAATTATAATACATGGGTATATTATCTGCATATTTAAAATCTGAGATTATGGCTCAAAATTCAAATATGTCCTGAGTTTCAGGATATTGATCATAATTTTTTAAATGACGCCATTAATTATCCAATTGCTGCAAATCATTTTTGTCTATTTAATTGGGCTATTTTACTGCAATATTTGCATTGTTAATTTTTGTTTTTTGTCGCACAGATTATGGATTTAAAAATAATAAATCCTGCAAACAATTATCCTTTAAAGCGAGAAAGCGGTATTTTAGGTAGCTAAAACTGGAGAACAATAGACGACTATCCAAAGCGGTAAAAATACCGCTTTAGCGGAAAATCTGGCAACACTGCAGGAGAGAAGCAGTGCCAATGGCGCATCCAGAGTTTAAGTTTGGGGGTAGTGGTAATATATTTTAAGTTCAGGTGGGGTAATATTTACAGTTTGTTCGCTATACTTACACGTGTTTCGGATTAACAAAATTATGCAAATTAGTCATTGACAACCAGTTCCAATAAGCCCCTTTCAAAGAAATTAGGTAAAATTGCCCTAATGGTCAGATTTAAATTAAAATAACATTAGGGTAGGTACTAAATTTGTTCGAAATATTGCAGTTGAATTGATTCTTTGCAAGTGTTGACATTGTATGTATATTGTAAATTTAGTGGAAATTTTAAAAATGCCTAGACGTGTGTTAGATGTAGATAGTCTAATTTGTAGTGTACATAAGTATTTTACGGATGAAAAAGAAAATGGCGGTCCTTTAAAATCGGTAATGTCTGTACAACAACGCGTATGCGATGCTCTAGGAATTAGTGAAACCAAATTAAGAGGAGTATTACAAAATCACAATAGTGAACTACCGAAACAATATCGCCGCAAAACTCGCCCATTATTGAAAACGAAAAATATTCCAGATGGAAAGAAATTTGAAATTCGTGATACCATTTATCGAATGAGGGCCAACAAGGAACATGTGACCTTAAATAGAATTCTCTCGGAATTAATAGATAGAAAATTTGACGACATTGGCAGAACAAGTCTATGGCAAGTGATACATAACTTAGGTTTCAAATTTCAAAAGGAGGATAACAGAAAGGCCCTTTGTGATAGAAGTTCTGTCGTGCACAAGATAAATAACTTTCTAAGAAAATATTCTAAATTTAAAGAAGGGGCGAATTTTATATATTTAGACGAAACATGGATATTTTCTAGGGGTGTAACCAAGAGAATATGGCAAGATGATAACGTAAAGTTCATCAAACATACCGATGGAGAAGGTGCTGATTTAATATTTTAATCTTAATCAAAATCCAGTGACTATCACGATAATATGAACACAGAAATGTTTGTAAAATGGTTACATGAAAAACTTCTCCCAGGTTTAAGTGAGCCCAGCGTAATTATTTTAGACAATGCACCTTACTATTCTGAAGTAATAAACAAGAGTCCAACGAATTCTTGGACTGTTGATAACATTAAAGAATGGTTGACAAAGGCACATATACCATTTCCTCAATATATATTAAAATCAGAATTATTACGCTTGGCAAATATACACGCAAAACCAAAAACCTTTGTTGTAGATCAGATTATTGAAAGTTACGGCCATCAAGTTTTACGTCTGCCACCGTATCATCGAATATGTATGGGGAATAGCAAAACAATATTATGACAACCATATTGGGCCTAATGGTTACAGTTCGGAAAACTTGGCGAAAAGCACTTTCAATTGCAACTCCAGAAGTGTGGCGGAACTGTATATCCAAGTGCGAGAAACTAATAGAAGATTGGTGGACTTGTGAAAATAAAATAAACGAAATAAGTCCAATCATAATCACAATTAATGGTGATGACAGTGATGATGATGACGATTATGATCTTTTGGATGATAATGACTGATTTTCATTTTTGTTGGCAAGTTCAATTTTTTTATTTTTTATTTGAAATTCTCTACATGGAACAAATTTTTATGTTAGAAAATATTTTATTTGAGCTAAATAACCCTCTTATTATATATAGACCATATTTTCTGTGTGAAGTGTAATATAAAATTATTATTAGGTTTATAATAGCCACATTAGACTCCATTAATGAAGAAGTTTAATTCTACTCTCAATTATACAAAAGATTCTCCATTATTATTTAATTAAAAAGTTGTACATTATTTTTAATTTCATTTAACCAGTTGATATTTCCCCAAAGAACAGGTCAAACTTTCGGGTACTTACCTGGAAATACTCATAAAATTTTTAATCCGAAACCCGCATAAGTATAGCGAACAGACTGTACCTACTTTATATTAAAAAATATTTTAAGTAAAAGGATGTTCATATAAAAAAAAACAAACAGTAGGTAAGCAGAGACATAAAAGAAAACCTTGAGAAAACAGGAGGCACACTTGTGGCGTGAGTAAATTTGGTTGGTTTATTTTTTTTGATCGAATTCCTTGAAAATGAATTCGAAAAATACTAAAATCATGCAAGTTTAAACTATCGATGAATACTTAAAACAATCGATAGATTTCGATGGTAACACACTATTAATAATATCGATAGTGCTATCGATAGAATCCGACCACTAGTTTACAGTGATGCCAGACATATTATTTGCTTATTAGAAACGTGTACGTTTCTACAAATACATTTTTAATCCGAAACCCGCGTAAGTATAGCGAACAGACTGTAAGACTTTATTTTTAATATTAATACATTTTAGTGACGGGGTATGTGGCTCAGTGGTAGAGTCTCTGCCTGCGGATCCAAGGGTCCCAGGTTCAAATCCCACCGTTGGCCGGAATTTTTTCATTTAATTTATTTAAAATTAATTCTGATGCCTTGGTAGGATTCCCCACTCGACCATTCACTGTTGGGTACTAATTAACAGTGCTTTTTCTAAAGTGGCGCTAGGAAACAGTAACAAAGCCTACACATAACACGAGGCTAATAACCGTAGCAGTTGATGCCGATGACACAAAAAAAAATACATTTTAGTACCTATAAAAAGTTTGGTTTAACAATTCTCGGAGGTAATTACCCTGATTAATCCCCCATATATGCGCCCCTGGAACCAGTGAAATTAAAATTCTGTATTGATGTACGTCTGTCCCATAAATGTATTTCTTAATATAACTGCCAAAGACCTTCAATCTAATTATTTTTTTAAAACCGGTATTCATAAATGCAAAGTGTTATATAGGAACAAAGGAATACTTATTTTATGATAGTGGGTAGGATCTTCTGGGTTTTCCTCACCTGTAAGCCAAATGGTACCATCAATCATCTTTAAGTCGCCTCGGAGTGCCACGACAAATAATAATAATATTTGTCCCATCCCCAGACAAGCTTAGTTTTTGGGGTTAAAATTCACTAGTAAGAAGGTGAATTAGGGAGAGTATTATTGTTATTATTATGAGAGTATTAAATGAAAAGGGTAGTTGCTTCCTTACCAAAATTTAAGAACAATGTAATATGTTTAGTTATTGCTCATAAAAAGATGTAAAGGTAAAACATATAAACTGAATTTTAGTTTTTCTAGAAAGCTTCTAAAAAAGAAACAAGTCTGAACCAGCGAAAAACCAGCACATATACATATATTACAGATTGATCTGAAGAAGATATATGCACGAGTTGGAGGACTAGTAATTTGGTAGTCGCTGCATATGAAGTAATGTATCTAGATCGGCTGGACATATGGGGACAAGTTTTTAGAGCCCATCCCAACTCTACTCACTCAATAGGATTAGATATAGAAAATATTATAATATTGCCACTATAAAGTAGTAGAGTAGATAGTATTATGTTCGCTCCAACCGAGTTGACTCAAAGCTGGTTTGGAGCTGTATATCCTCAATTTAACATCGGACTATCGATTATGCAGCGTGGAAAACAAATCTGCAGAGCACATTTTATGTACCTGTTCCACTTTGAAAATAACCAGATTCCAGATATTCGGATTCTTCCGATTGGGTCCTACCGACTTTAAACCAGTCCCACCCAATTCGACCATAGCCTTCCTCAAAATGTGTTAGTGGTGAACCACAATAAATCCATCTGAGTCGCAGTGGAAGGCTATGAGATTATCCCTTTAACTTTCAACGTAACCTAACCTATACCCTCAAGTGCCTCGGTTCTTAGCACAAAGTTTCTTTGAAACGTCGATGCGCTCGCTAAAAGAGGAACCGAATCTGAATAAATATCACCAAAATCATTCCTTGGCATTCCAAGGAGTACTGCCAAAGTAATTAACTTAAACTGTACAGAGGGCGAAACACTTGCATGTACTGGAGAAATATCCCAGGCCTAACTCATTCGAAGCTTTAACCACTTCTATGAATTAATTTGCTTAGATCTGGAAATTGAATAGGAAAGATCTAAGCCTTATTACGGGACTAATGATAGGCCACTGTCGTTTAGGTAACCATATGGGATAGCTAGGTCTGCAACAAACATCAAACTGTCGATTCTACAGCGTAAAATATGAATCTGTAGAGCACATAGTACCAGCTCCCTCTTAGAAAAACTAGGTTCCAGATCTTTGGCTTTACCAGACTGGATCCTACCTAGTTTAAACAAGTTTCACCACTCAACCATGGCTTTGATTAAAAGGCATGAGTCACAATAGTTCCATCTGAGTCGCCGTTAACCTAACCTAGATCATCCTCTCGTTTTTAACCTAACCTAACATTCTTTCAACCTTTATAATGATTGTTCTGTTTAAATTACCCACTATCTGAAGTTTAAATAGTTAATGTTTCCTTTTGTTTCAGACAAAGTAAAAAAGAAATACGCCAGTCTGGGTCAAAATATCCTAATGGTTCAATTGGAACGAAGCAACCAGGGCCTGGGCCTTAGTTTGGCTGGTCACAAGGACCGCAACTGCATGGCGGTATTTGTGTGTGGACTCAATCCCAAGGGCATGGCTTTCAAGACTGGAAGCATACAAATAGGCGATGAAATACTAGAGGTAAAACATTTTATTTATATTATGAAACAATAATATAATAAACTTGTCTTGAAAACGGTAAAATAAAACTCAAAAACCATTTTATTATAAAAGCAATTAATTTTGCATAATTTTACAATTCAGTGCAATGTGGAGATTTGGCGACCATTTTACTTTGAATATCACACGTCAGATAACCGCTTCCACGACCGGGACATAGCACAACTTGTTCACACCCTCTCCTATTCCTACTTACAAAGAGCAGTGCTACATTTTAGAGTAAAGGGAGGTGCTAGATATTAAATCAAGTTGTGTTCGATTACTCCTTTAGTCAATTTCTTCCGAAGGTAAATTTAGAGTCACTATCTTTCAAAAGCATGCTCTGACACATCGAGATAGAATAAAGTAGAGACGACCTAAAGACGGTTTTCCACTAACCGGACAGTTGAGTCTATGTTTTGTTTGTGTTTTCTGGAACTTGAAAAACAAAAACGAAACTAAGACAAATTAAAACTCTTGTTTCCATCAAGCGGACTACATTTTGTTCCAGTTTTGTTTTTGTTTTCAGCTCTTTTCCACTGGTTGTCGCGAGGTAGTCAGAACACATTTCTTCAATATTTTATTTATATTTTTATATTTTTTTAAAGATAGATCCAACTGAAAATACATATTAAAATAGTTTAAAAGATGTATGTAATCAGTGGCGGCTCGTGAAATGAAAATTAAATATATTTCAAAACAATCAGTTGGGGTAATAACGATTTCTGATTCTGACTACAGGGAGCTAAATGTGACCACTCAAAATGCATTTAAGTATGTATGTGGCTATTTAATCAAAAAATCATTACATATCCACTCTTGCGAAATTTACGTAAATTTCTCAGAAGAATGCAATTTACTTAACAATTCTAACTTGTTAACGCATTTTAAAGCATACTACTCTGAAGAAAAGGTGTTTGGCAATTTAAAATCTCCCAGAAAAAAATTAATCTTTTATATTTTCAAATTAGAAAAAATATTTATATCTCTATTTGATAGTTTGTCAACTAAGCCTAGAATTTCCAACGCATACCTTTTTGAGATGAGCAAAATAGAATTTGGTCATCCTTGCCAACAATTTGCGAAAATGTACACCATTAAATTATTTATAAGACTCAGAATTTTTTATACTCTTAAATATGCAAACAGAGATTTGAAATCCTCGAAAAAGTCAGACAAAATCAAAATAAAAAGAAAATTTTGTCCCATTTATAATTATTATTGATTTTTTTTTCATCATATTTTTGACAGCTTTATAAAAAAAAAAAGTTATTTTTCTCTGTAGTTTTATTTCTTAACTATTCCAATGGTCCAACTAACATTTTTTTCGTAATCACAATAAATAAATTATTATCATGGTCCAACAAACGCGCACCTTCAGCCGAAACCGGCCGGTAAAGAAGCCGCTGCGTACATTCGTATCTGGTCTAGGTAATATGTGCCATGGGTACAGCCACAAAGCACATAGAGGTTCCACGTGAATGACCAAGGTCAAAACCGACAACTGACATTTTTTATGGTATTGGCTCCAAACTCTAGATGGGGCTACTGGTAAAATTCTGATTTCTTACTCCATTTTTAAGCTTTATGGGAGAAAAACTTAACCAAAGACTCCAAAGATGTGACGTGTATTTATTTATGTTTTTGGTTAATCTCATTTTTCCGTCTGATTTTAGTGATTTTTTGTTGGCTTTGGCTTTTGGTTTCTGTTTATAGTTTCGTCTTAGTTATTTGCAAAATTGTGATGTTTTGCTTTTCTATTTGCTACTGTGTTTTGCAATAATTTTGGTGCTACCGAGTGCTACGTTGAAAACTTCGAGAAAAACTTACCTATTGATTCACCATGCATCTGCATCATAAAAAGACAAACGGGTATAACAACTAATTGATAATCAATTTATCACTGGACTAGATTCCGAAATCATTTTTCACATAAGAGAGTAATACACAAAGCAGTGGAGTAATACCACCATCTGTATTTGGAAGGAAAATACCTATTTATCATTGAATGAATAGTTAAAATGATTCACCTTTTAATACAATACCTATATTACATTTGTCCTCGGTTTAAAAGACATTTATAAAATATATTATTTTAGTGTTAATAAAATGTAATATCCTAGTCTCTACTTCACATTTAAATTATTGATAGGTATTTTAAAGATTTGAGAGTAAGTATTCGTTAAATATGTATTATTATTATTATTATTTGTATTTATTTTTATCTAATAATATTTATTTAAGTTATTAATAAACATATTTTAAGAATGTTCTATTTGATTATTTATTGATATATCTTATATTTATTTAATTTAATAATAATATGCAGAACCAACTCTCCACATCAGACCCCTGCTTATAACAAATTAATTCCTCAAATTTGGTATAATCGACCTAAATTATTTTGTAAAATAAAAGTTTCGAACTTACTAGTTCCATTCTTTATTTTATAAAATAATTTATGTGGAAATCATTTAAAATTTAATTTAAAACTACTACCTACTCCTAAAAATTACAATTTGAATTTACCGCCATCTGTCAATTGTCATTTTAGTTCCAGCTCCAAACACAAGGTGGCGCTAATTTGCTTTAAAAGTTTAACATTGGCGTGGGGTCTCTAGAAGATACGTGCTTTGTGGGTACAGCACGTCACAATGAGGACGTAAGAGAAAATCAAAGTGTTGGACAGCGCCCTGCTTGTGACGTATGTGTTCCATCTCTTGCTAAGCGATATTGTCGTTGTCCTTATTTTTCGCATCATAATGAGAGAGAAAACAACAGAGGCACACAACTGTTTCCAGTAAAAAGACTTGAGTTTCAAAACACGTCGAAACCTTTTGATGTTACCGCTTCCGAGCAGGACTCAACAAACAAAACTTCAACCGTCGTAAAACACGCCAGTCCTTAAAAAGTTTGCGAAAAGTTGGAGTTTGTGTTTTGTTATTGTTTTGTCCGTTTAGTTGAAAACAGCCATAAAACACTATTTTGCGATATGACAGATGGACGTACTTCAAGTGACGGAAAAGTGTAATGAAAATGGCGACTATGATTTATTTAAAGTCAATAATTTTATATTTAAAGACTGACGGAATGAAAATGATTTTACGTTATTTAAATAAAGCTATTTAGAAAAGAATTGCATTTATTTTCATCAAAACTGACTAGCTCCACTAGCTCGAGTTTGACATTGACGTAAAAGTGTAATGCAAAGGTGCGGACACTTAGGCATCGTCATAGCATCTCATCTTTATTCTATCTCAATGCTCTGACATAATCATGTGTCATACAATTGATACTGCCACTAGGATATAATATTTTTGATACTATTTAAACATTTAAAAGTAATATTTTTCATTCTTAATGCTATTCAGAGAAAAGATGTCCTCTTGATTTGCTGCTTCAATTTTACTAAACATATTATATTTGTCTTTTTGAACCTCAATTCTTCACTTTTTTCCCATGGAAAAAAATATTTTCCTATGAGAATTTATATTTTGTTTTCTCGACACATCCACTAGAAATACTTTCTCATGAAAGGTATGGGAGCAAATACACTTGGTATTTGGCATATGAAATCAAACTTCCAATGGGAACATTGGTAATGGATTCATCTGAATCAAAGTTAATCTGTCACCAGTTATATTTGCTATTTTCTTGTCACTTTAAATAATTAATAATATTAATATTTCCAGTATACCTTCTTTTTTAAAATGGATGAAACCACAAAACCTATATCACGATTCTGTTCAATAGAATTGTTTTCTTGAGGTTTCGGGGTAAATTTTGAGCAATTCTGGCACCATGGGGTTAGGAGTGTTTGTTGAAGTTGGTAGTTGGAGTCTTTCACAATTCAAGAGAAGTATTTTTCCAAGGATTTGGAGACAATTGAAAATGGTGATATTTGCATTTTCGGTTACTTTAGATTTATAATAAAAAGAGTGGATAAGCATTAAAAGTTTTCCCGATTACCATGCAAAATCTCAAACCTTATAAACCGCATTAAATAACTCTTTTGATAAAAACATCTACATTTCCAATGTCCATCTATTTTGTTTACTTATAACTACTATTTTTATATACCTTCTTCTAGCTTTATTTTGGTTGACCTAATCTTCTTCTGCCGTTAGGATGTCAGTAAACACTTGTTTTGAAATTCAACCTAGGCATTCCTTGAACATGCTCGCACGACACTAATCGCTTCTTTTTGATGTCGATTTTGAACATACAACTATTTGTGACCTTCTTACGTTTATCTAAATGTTTAGTCCTAAAGTTTTATCACATCTTCATCTTGATCTTTGTTGGTTATAAGTAGGTAGGGTTAGATTTAGTACAGAATACTCTGGCCTCTTGTACCTATTCCCATACCTTCCCCATCTTCAGGTACTATATTTGTTCCTAGCAAACCGCACTAAATAACTCTTTTGATAGAAACATCTACGGTACACAAATAAAATAATAAAAATAATTTTGTCCACGACCACTTAATAATAAATCAATCGTTGAGTAGCGACAACTGGGGAACCGAATTCTAGTGCGCCGACTCGAAATAGAGTGGCGAGACGTCTTCTAAAGATGTAAACAACCCCTTTCACTTTAGTCCGGCAGCTGATATAGGAATTCGTTGTTGTGGATTTATTAGTCAAAAATTGTATTTAGCGACATGTTTAAACAACGCGAAATTTAAAGTTTGAGACAACTCGATTAATAAATAAGAAGGTCCATAAGTAATAATTTCTATTGTTATCAAAAATCAAAACCCTGTGCACCTACCAAGTCTCTAGCTCATCCGGACGTAGATAAAAAAGTTTAAATTTATCAATAGTGATATATATTTTTATATTTATTACATAAGTTAAATACTCATAAATATAAAACTGCCTGGTGACCAAACCTTTATTATAAATGTAAACTACAAAAGAGTTTTACTTCAAACTACGTCGAGCAGTGGAAACATCACATTCAAGACCAGTTCATAATTC